ATTATTTTTTTCTACATAGAAAATGTATGAAACTTTCCATTATTACCTCACTGAGGATGTGAAAGCAGTAAGATATTTTAAGATATAAAACAAAAAGGAATAAAGTTTTATTTTCTTACGTGCCGTAAAGAATTTGATGACTTATATAATATAATTTTGTCAAACTGAGTGCAGAACGGTCGCTTTAATACTTTTACTCATTATATCTATCTTACATGGACACACGAACAATTCAACACTGGTTCTTACCTTGTCCTGTTTTCTTTTTTACGTTTTTTTTTTTTTTTTAAGTTTTTGTCACCATGCATGTCCAGTGCCTTAAAACTATGATTTCAGATGCAATGGCAGCACACTGCACATCTATTTCTGTTTAAAAATAACGATTCTAACAATTCTGAAGTTATGATCATATGCTGCTCTAAAATGTTCGGACATTCTTATATCCATTGACATTCAGCTTATCATATAACGTTTGAGTCCCCTCTTTCGTATGTTTTTCTGGGTCAACGAACGTTTTGATTACTTCCTTTTTTGGCTCCTAGCATCACAGATAAGATTTAGAAGAACTAAAACAGTTGAATGGTGCAGTGTAGTTCACTTTTGGCATGCTGCATCCATTACCAAATAGTATAAGGGCAATCACGTGAGTGCATTATGTTCATATTACATAGTATAGGTCGAGTTAGGTCGAGTTGATTGGTTCACGATGCTTTCATATTCTGGCTACAGGTTGATGAAGACAAGTTTAACACTTCAACGAACTGCGCCCATCACACAATACGCGAGGAATGTAGCATCATCTTATCCGAGTTCCAAATCGACTGGTCAAGTGTCCAGTGGACTGACCTCCTGAAGCCTCTGTACTCCGGCCTAGCAGCGTCCCTATATCTCAAACTGCAAGGGGCTGACCCAGCCCCTGGCGACCTAGCCGGTCAAGCGTCTTTGTGGAAAAGTTATTTCCAACCAACACATAACCTGACAACGTATACAACAAAGATCCAACAGAAAGAGAGTACGGCGGACGGTAAGTGTATTAGTGATTACTCTTTATTTTAATTCGTAGCTTAAATAATTTCAGGATCCTTGTCCCACTGCAGACCATCCTCAATAATGTCATAGCAAAATCGAAGGCTCAGTGTGCACTGCCTTGTGGAGGAGACTAGGAAACTCTAGTTTTATCCCTTGATGTACATCAAAAGAATATGTCGGTCGCGTAATGGTAAAAGTGAGAGGGCTTGAAGTAGGGTGTTGCTCCACTGTATTCTTCAGAGGACATGTATCATCCTAGTGATTGGTCAGGTCTTTTTTCAACCATAGACCAATCAAATAGCCTTCAATTTTGCTATGACACATTCCAGGGGTGCAGAGAGCGAAACTGAGCGTAAATCCTGGAGTATCGAGGATGACTGCAGACATAAAACGTAATTATTCGTTGTAGTTTTTTCAAACAAACTGTAACCTCCCCTTACTTTCATTTTTGATACATCAGTAGTCCGGCTGGGTCAGTAAACTACAGCTGATAAGGAAGCTATGTAGGCTAGACTGTGAACGAATTAGGTACAGAGTTCTAATTATTCCGGCCGGGCCACATTGTAGTATTACACTTGTAACAATGTTGTCGATATCAATTTATTTCCATCTTTATTTTTTTCTTCTTAAAAGTGTCAACACGTATGGATTTATAATCAGAAATATCATGCACGACTTATTGAAGCAATTGGCATGTATGTAAAAAGTTTCAAAGATTTGGCCCCCACTTTGATTTCTTTTATTCTTTTGCCATATGTAGATACACAAAGTGATCAATAACTACCTAAATGATTATTCATAATTACTACTGATAGCCGTACTGGACCTCCTTGCATAACACCAGGTTGAGTTACGGGGATATCTTAACAAAATGACAGATAAATGTCACAGGCGAGTGTTATTA